TTGTTAGCCACCTGGCGCTCAACACGGCAGGTAGCGCGGTTTTCGCGCCGAAATTACCATTCTCTAATCGTATTGACTATAAAAGTTTTCGAACACTAGTCGAGTAGAGTCCAGTGGAATTCGAGTGTATCAAGCGTACGTGTCTCGTTTACTTATTGCTATGTATATTTAGCACGCAGCTATTGTTCTATCGGCTGAAGATTGAATTGTGATTGGCGAGTGATGCGGACTAGTCTTGTGTGATCCAGTGAAACGAAATGATAAAACAAAAAGTGTAGTGACGAGGCAGTGAAATGTCAGTTGGTTCAATGAGATGACAAAGCCGTCAAGATGATAAAGTTTCGGTACAAACGCAAGGAGACGAATGATGGGGAGAAAACCAAAGCCCCCATCCAGAAGCAGAAGATTGAGGGGCTGAGGGATCGGGAGCTGCTCCCTCCCAAAGACCTGCTTATGACGGGTTCGGTGGCTGGTGTCAGGAACAACACCCTTCCGAGGTCCAGGCCACCTTCTGCGGCGAGGAGGGAAGACCACTCCTTGCTCAGCCCGACTACATTATCGCTGTTTAGAGTAAGTTCAATTCTTATGTTCGTTCAATATCTACGAGTATATTCATGTGAATTGCGAGATTAAGTCCTGATAAATAAATAACATCGCTTTGTTTATACATAAGCGGAAAAATACCTGCCATTATTCTTGTATTTACAACTTAAATGTGACTCACCTCATACCTTAAGTTATTCTAAGCACAGGATTTTTAATGATAATGACAAACTGTCCTCATTTAAGACAAGAGAGCACGTCGAGTTTGACTGATGAGTCTGCCCGACCACGCGAAGTGGCACGACTAGCAAAAGACATCAACGAAGCAATTTGCTTGCATAGACCATAGACCAGCCTTTCCCAAAGTGAGCGATAACGCCCCCTTGTGGGCGCTGCAGGTCTAAAGGGGGGCGGTAAGAGACCAAGAAAACAATCGGGGCATTTGAAGTTATAGTCGTTTTCAAGTAGGCGAAAAAATGGGGGCGCTAAAATTAATTTATTCTCAAAGTTTGGGAACCCCTGCCATAGACCATTACTTAGTTACTTTGTCCGCTTAATAATATTTCCCGTAATCATTCCATCAAATCTTGATACATAAATCGAGTGCATGCAGAATCGCTAGTAACAAGAATCGATTAATTTAAATTTCAATCGATTAACCATCGTTAAATTGCAGATAGCCGTTCGCTTAATTGAAAGCTAGTTGTCTACTAAATAGTAATTACGAAGTCTAGCATTAATGTGAGTGAAGACAAAGTACTAAGCTCGTATTACCTAATTGTTAATAAATTGTTACTACCTGTACAAAACCTTATGTCATATTGTTATAATCATATTGTTCAATCAATTAGATAATGACTTTCCAAGTTTCCACTTTCATTGTTTTTTCCTGTTGTTATAGTGAATTGTTCAATTAAGGTGGAAATTAGCATCAATCAGCAAATTGCCTAAACGAATCTGCGGTCAATTATGGTTAATTAATCTTGAACTGAAGTTAAAAATAACAATGATGCCAGAATCTTTGATCAATGGATAAGGAAGTTTTTTGGTACTAACTAAACGATTGCTTTGAAGTACCTATATCTTCTTCGTCATAACATATTTTGAGATGCTCTATAAGTAATCTTAGAGTGGGCCAGTTGCCGGAAGAAAAAATGTTGTAAAATTTCAATCCGGTTACTAGGCCCGTGGACCAAGCTAAAAGTGGGCCAAGTCGCTGGAAGACTTGCAAGTTACAAAGAGGGATAGAGTCTGTATCAAATCTTTTTTGCGAAAATAAACGTCTTCTAATCATGTTGCTTTTAGTTACTGAGAATACAAGTAAGTTTGTATTTTATTCTTTTATTGTATTCTATTTGTCGACTAAAATGGTCTTTAAAATAGCCAACGAACAATACGTTCCAATATCTCCATTACAGTTGTCCTATCGTTTATCATGGACGGCCCGTCGCTGACCCAAGCATTGTAGAAGACTCCAAAGGCAATTTGTTTGTAAGAGAATACTTAACGCACTGATTTCGTATGCATGCGCGAGCGCACTCCTCCGGCCTAGCTCGCCGCCTGAATTCTCTATCGACTCTTAAAGGAAATTTCGTGACGAATTAACAATAAAATATACTATTCATATTACAGTCGTGTACCGAGAATATAAGGATCACGTATTGATTATGTTAAGGACTATCTTATATCTGTTACATGCCCGCTAATAAAACAGAGGTTATACAACAGCTTATGTAGAATTGAGTACCTATACATTTAAGTTACTGAGTCAATGTAAAAAATAACCGGAAATATAACCCTTCAATGTAGCAGGTAGGTAGGTTCATCCTAACCTATCATTAGGATATCTTTTAGATCGGTTTAAACCCCAGTCTAAGTTTTACAAGGAATTTACAGCTGAGATGACTCACATGCGATCTTTTTCTGTGTTTCCTAGAGTACATTTATGTCAGTTTCCACAAGCAAAACATGTGTAGCTATGAAGATTTCCACTAATCAACAATTGCTTTTCTCGATGTGTACTTTACGGTGAAAAGTGGAAATAACGAGCTTTATGTGCATAGAAATAGAGGGCAAAACTTATGGTTTTGATGTTGATGTACCAGGCGATCAGAAATCGCAAGAAGTCACGGTGGGAGCGGTGCACTTCTCACGAGACAATGGGAGCGCGGTTCACAGCGGTGTGCCACTAACGCCACCTGGGTGCTGCACCGTTCCGACTCGTTTCCTTCCACGTGAAAATGCCTTGTTAGGAAATGAAAGAAAAACAACTTGTTCTTAGACATGGAGCTGCAGAATAAATTAGCTCATCTTTGTTTTTGTTATGTTCTAGAATTGGTGCAAGAGTGTAGTTAGTGCCGCATAATATTCACGCAGAGCAGTTAGTAGAGAGTTTATTTTACAAAACAATCACACCATTAATTAACGATTCTAATGAATGATGACATTTCGCCAAGTTTTATAAAGAAAAATATCAATAAATCACAATTTTCCCCATTGATGCTGTGAGAGCGACGCGTGATAGCGGATCATCAATTACCCGCACTAATGAACCCTGCGCGGGCGCCGCAAGACTGTTGGTTTTGCTCAATGACATTTATCATGGCGGAAACGATTCGTTTTGAACTCACGCTAATTATACCAACAAAAGAATGAAAGTGGAAACGATTGGTTTTAGTGACAATTTAGCACAGAGCAAATTAATAAGAGTACTTATTATTAGCGAATTGTGAAAAAAGGGACTATGATAAAAGCCTACCTCGTGTTTTGCTCATTAAAATTTCAAAAAGACTCCAACGCGTCAGTAAATAGACCTTGTAACTACATCTCATATGCGTGATAGAGTCCAAAATGGTACGTGCACCTGTAGAGGCGCTAAACTACGACGCAAGGGCAACAACACCATCCAAGCGATTACGAAAGTCACAAAAACAGCAAACGTCTACAACAGCATCACCGCAGGTCACGGCGCTTGTGACCTATTCGTGCCATACCGGTCTGCCCGCCTTCCCCGGCCGACTCTCGAACTTACGGGCCGCAATTTAAAATTCAAAATCATATAACGGCATATCTGGTCAAACTTTCTTCGTGGGCAGCCTGTTTTTGAGGCTCCGCGCCTTTTTCCTTTCAACCTTTTAGCAGAATCAATGTTTGTGCCTTGTCCCCGATAAAGCTAATATTTGGCGACGATGTCATCACAAATACGTTTGGTATCGAGAGGTATTGTTTACTATACAAATTACATGCATAGAAAATTTGAATGCAATGAATAACTAATACCTACCAGTCCTACTATAATTCTAAACAAAGATGTTTGCATTCTTGTTTTAATCGTTACATTTTTTTTATTACGACAACATGGTTTTGGTTATTCTATCCACTAGCCACACATTAGCAGTAATTTACAAAAGTTGATGCAAAGAAACTAACTTGCCCAATGATTAACCTTCAACTGGTGACGTGACGTCAAATTGACGTCGCACAGGAGAAAACGTTACATATTATTCAAACGGCTTGTTCCCCGCCCCTGCACCCCTCAGTAGCTGCTTCTTTCTTAGTTTGGCGTCCGCCGTGACTGAAATCGGATGTTGCACGCGCTTAATTAGTGAGATAGATTGATATCAAACGTCAATTTGACGTCACGTCACCATTAGTGTCAGTGATTTATTTCATGATCTGTTTCATTTAGTGGTTAAAAATCGAATCCAAATGACGAGGATTTCAAACGTGTTGTATCGGGATTATTAGAAGAAAATGTGAGTGACATCAGCGATACGGAAGATCGATTTTTACACGACACTCACTGCTTAGAATCGGATCACAATACTGCGAGTGAACTATGCGACATAGAAAATCAAGATCCAGCACTATATGTCCAACTAAGAAGATGAAAAGAACATCATACCTCTGCAAAAAGTGCAAGAAACCCGCATGTTTTGATTGCCTAGAAAAATTTTTGTGCTGTTTGTTACCATAATTAATCCTATTTTTTTTTCTATGGGACAAAATACTAAAAATGACTGATTCTTATTTTTTACTTATTGTTTTTTAAGAAGAAAGTAATTTTTGTTAAATTCCTTTGTTTTTTTTTTAATTCTATTATGATTGATCTCATGTCTACAAAAACAGACCAAAAATGACTGCCATGTTTCTAAGCGTTATTTAATTAAAATTTTCAACATTTATTGCGACCAGTGTGTTTTATTTACGAAAACAAACTCATATTCTTATAAATAATGTAATTTATACATTGCTTATGCTGTAAGTCTCCTGAATTTCGGCTTTTTAGTATTACGTCAAAATGACGTCACCTCACCAATACTGTGACCCATATTCACGTCACCAGTTGAAGGTTAAACTGCCAAAAGGTGGACTCATTGCTACAATATATGGCAATCTCATATTAACCTTTGAATGTTATGAATTTAAAATTAACAATATCTTTTATTTGCCAACAGGAGCTGTTCACGCAGCTACAATGGTCTTCAGAGCGCGCGCCCGCTGCCGACAGCCTCCGACGGGCGCTTGGCGGCGTCGGCGCCCGTTTCCAGCTCGGATGCATGGCCGACGCCAGCGAATGCTTCGAACACCTCTTACTAAGAGTCCATGCACACGTGGCCGCCAGTGCGGATAGAAGAGAAGATGACGCGTGTAGAGCGCCGCACTGCGTCCCTCACAGAAAGTTCGCGATGATGCTCGTGGAACAGTCTGTCTGTGGAGCCTGTCAAGCGACGAGCGAACCTCTGCCTTACACACAGGTAAATTTTTCCACTAATTATTAAAAATTTTTAGTCTCCTACTAAGTAGATGTGCAAATACACCTCTTGTTAACTGTGTTCACGATAAATATGTATAATAACAAGAGAAGATCTTAGTGTTAGTTTTATGTACCATCTGAGACTTCTGGTTTCTTCATAGATTGCATCTGCACTCTTGGATGAGATAGAGACATTATGAACAGACGTTACTTAATGATATTCAAAATATTATAAAACTTGTAACCAGCTTGTAACACATTTGGAAGTCTAGATGTCTACTGTTTCCTGTTATAAAGTAAGAAAAAACAGACATAACGTCTTACATCATCATTAAACTGAAAAAAGACGTATTTTATTATTCAAGTTTAATTTATCAGAATTTTATGAAGTCATGCTATCGAGTTCCAATCCAACTGGACCGGTTTAATCAAGTTAACTTGATTTTGCACGAATAAGCAATTTCTTGAAATAAATGATAGCATCAAACAAAATAACTTGGAGACTGCACGATGCCACGATTGAGCGATAAAATGGGACCATCGAGCACTTCGTATTGCAAGCGTGTGAGATATAGACTTGAGCCACTTGTAAAGTCTCAAGGCAATGAAGGCGATAAACACGGTTTAATCAACGAAACTGCAAATTGAAACAGCTAAAGGGAGACTCCATAAATCTTTTTTCAGTTAGCCTTTAAGTTTGTTAAGGAATGTTACAGCTATACGATTACTAAACTTACCTTTGTGTCATTCGCAGATGGTGCATTACGTGTCAGCGACGGCCCTGACGACGCAGGCGGCGTTGGGGGAGCACGGAGACAGCTTCGGTTTGCTTCTCAAGAAGGCTGGCGGCATGGGAGATATCAGAGATTGTCCGGTAAGTTCCTAACTGTTTTTATCACCTTAGTACCTTGATGTGTACCTACACTGTTTTTAGACCTAGCATAGGTGACTACAAAGCAATTGGACTAAGATTGTTCCTTTTTTTCTTCTCCAGAACGCCTGCGGAGCCAAAATCCAGATCTGCCGGACGTTAATGAATCGGCCAGAAGTGATATCCATCGGCATGGTGTGGGATTCAGAGCGGCCGGCTGCCGAAGACGTCGCCGCCGTGTACGCAGCCCTCGGCACCGAACTTCTGCCTTCTGATGCCTTCCACGAGTGCGTGGACCGCGCCTGGGCCGCGCGCGCGCAACACCGCCTCGTCGGCCTCGTCACCTACTACGGCAAGCACTACTCCACCTTCTTCTTCCACAGCAAGCTCCGTCTCTGGATCTACTTCGACGACGCCGACGTTAAAGAAATCGGCCCCGAGTGGGCGCACGTTGTTGACAAATGCCGGCGAGGACGATTCCAACCGCTCCTTTTACTGTACGCGGCCGTCGATGGAACTCCCTGTGACACGCGATATGCGCCGAAGGATATAGTCCCGTTCCCGGCGCCGGAACCGCGCCGAGCTGTCACGCCAGCGCCCGAGCGCCCCAACAACGGATTCGCGCGGCGCGCCGTCACGCCCGGGCCCGACAACGATAACGATTATGTTAGTCGGAAAGCCGTCGAGAACATGCTGGAAGCCAACCGCCGCACGCAGCTTGGCCGCAGTCTGAGCACCGGTTCCGGCTCCGATACAGCTGACCGCCCGCGGGCGAGACGTGACTCGGGAAATTGGAGCGGAGACAGAAATAGCGCGTCGTCAGCTTCGTCCTCCACGTTCGAGAGCCCCTACATGTATACCAAGGGCCGTGGACCGGGCAGCGTCCCCGGCAGCCCCACGCGCAAAGGGGAACTCTCTAGCGGCGGCTCCTGCGACGCCGGCTACGACTCTTACTCCCTGTCGTCCACCGACAGCTTGCCCTTCCAGCAAGTTCTCCGCCACAATCACCCTATGATGCAGATTCCCGAGCTAAAAACGGTCGATAATTGCAAAGCACTGTGCTTGGAGGTAGATTTGCTTCTAGATAAATCTAGACAAGCCGAAAATGCTGCTGATTTCGAAAGAGCTCTGTCGCTGTGCGAAGCCGCGGCGGCCAAAGCTAGCGCGGCGATGGATGAGTCCTACAATAACGCTCACACGATGACTTTCGCCCGAATGAAACACAACACTTGCATCATGCGAGCGCGAAGTCTTCAAAGGCGGATGGCTGGCGCGATGAGGATGACTGAATCACAACAGACAGTCCCCGTGAGAAACACCAAAGGAGGCTTAGAATCGACTCCGACTACGATAGAGATATACGCAACTTTGCCCAAAAAGAAAGGCTCGTCGAAGAAGTCTAAGTGTATCGATGATGATATCGATTGCCCGCCTCGGGAGCGTCCCCCGAGACACAAGTCTCGCGAGGAAGAAAAAGTTCGAGAAAAGCGGTCTCGAAGTGAAGACAGAGGTCGAGCCAGGAAGGAGGCTCCGATTGTCACTGAAAAGAAAGAGGAAGCTCCCGAAGACAAGAAAGCAAACAAAAAGCAGCACAAAATCAGGAGAAAGTTGTTAATGGGTGGACTGATTCGAAGAAAGAACCGGTCGATGCCCGACTTGACTGAGGGTGCCGATGGCAACAATGAAGTCAGTAAAGAAAAACGCGTGTCGTCAGTGGATGATGGTGACGTGGGTAGGAGAAAGGGTGACGATAAATCCAATTTGAGCGGCTACTTATCTGAAGGTCATTTAGAATACTCGGCAGCGAGCGGCACCAATCCTAATCTGGAGAGGAGCAAGTTGATGCGAAAGAGCTTCCACGGCAGCGCTGTGAAGATTCGCAAAGTGCCGCCGCCGCTGCCGCAGCGTACCACTTCCCAGCTTAGCGGGCCTAAGTTTGATTCCGAAGTGATCGATCATGATATTCAGTCGCGTCCTCCGCAGCCGTTACCCAGCGAAGCGCCTCAATACGGGTATTCGCAGGACATGGAGGAAGATGGTGGATTCTCTGAACAGTTTGGCGAGGAACCTCAATCGTTACCTTTTCTACCCTCTACCTACGACGGAAAACCTGTAAACCAATACAACAGGCTAGACGACTCGCCACCCCAAAACTTCCACACGGTCGTGACAAAGGCTATGATTCATCAGGAGCAAAGTCCAGTGAAGAGAGACATCATGCAGAATATACAGCCTTCTCACAATAATATTCAGAATTTGAGTAACGCTTTCGACAACGGTGTCGACGTAGTTGATTGTGCCATGCCCATGCGGAGATCGCCGCAAATGTTCGAGTTGCCGCCTTACCCTAGCCCTATGAACTCGGTAAACCACTCTCGGCAACCGAGCGAGGAGTTCCCACCTCCGCCTCCGCCACTCGATTTGACTCCACTTCAAGATGAACTGAACAATATTCAGCATTCGAGACAAATCGATGTAGCGAATAATAATGAAGTCGAAATACCGAAGGGCTCGTTACTGGCACAACTCCAAGAAAAACGTAATCAAATTCTGAAGAACGAGGAGAGCATAGCCAAGCTAAATCAGATGGAAGCCATCAACACTTCTGGTGACACCTGGCTCAGAGAACTACAGGCCAAGCAGGCAGCTCTCAAGTTGAAAAGATCGGGATCGATAGAAGGCCAGCTATCATCGAACACTGTAGAAAATCTTAGCAACAATGTGAGAAGTCTCGCCTCTAGATTTGAAAACACTGTCCATGATGTGGACAGGACACACATTGGATTCGTTGGAATGTCTGGAAACAGGGATGTCATCAATTGCTCCAACCAATCCAACTCTTTATACAATCGCCGAGCGTCATCATCTTCCATTGACCCTAAACAGATAGAAGAAGACTACAACGATCAGAAAACTAGCAACAACATGTCCTACAATGATCGTTCAAAGCCTAAGAAGAAATCGGTATCTTTCTGCGATCAAGTTATCTTAGTATCGACAGCAGAAGATCAAGAAGACGATAGTTATATTCCTAACCCTATTTTAGAGAGGGTATTAAAATCGGCGATGAATAAGCCGGAACTAACGACAATGCCGCTGCAGTCGGAAAAGCCGTCGCTACAGCGCCAGGACTCTTTCGACAGCCAGTCTTCGCGGTCGACAATATCATCGCTCTCCCAAAACTCATTTGTGCCCAACGATGGTAGCCACACGGACTACGTGCGGTTACAGAATACGTACCCTGCGTATCAGAGCGCCCCGACTCGTCCTCAACAGCAATACAACGCCCAAAAGAATACAGGTGTTTATGGAACGGCTCCCGTGCAAACGATGATGAATCAAAGCAACCCGAGCAACAATCAAATTTATCAGGCGCTTCCATCTAACTCAGCTCAAAATCCCTCCAATCCGATACCATACCACCAGCCACCGTCAGTCTACCAAAACCACAGCGCGAGCCCACCGAACTTTAGTCAAAATCCCGCGAATAGGTTGACTCCGACGGCGCACAACCACGCTTACCAAGCGAAGCACAATAACTTGCAGCGAAGTGTACCTAACACGTACCCGCACCCACCGAGTCAGCTTCACCAAATAAATCAAGCGCAGAACAACGCTTACTACCACAGACTGCCGCAGCACTCCGCGGCGCCCTCATTGCACACTAACAGCTACAACGCCGGCCGGCAGTACCCGACTGTCCAGCCCAATCCCTCGCCGTACCAAAGCGTGCCCACCAATTCGCCGGCCTACCAAAACCCACCGACGAGCTACGCCAGCTCCGAGTACTCTAGTCGTTACCCGGTGAATTCCAATAGTACAAACCACTACAGCGCGGCTCCCTCCCCCTACCAGAGAGTTCCGCTGCCTCACGGGGAAATACCCATCGACAACTACAATGGCACCTACCAGAAAATGACGAACTACCACGACGGCTCGAATCAACGAGCTTCAGAAATGCGCCATTACGCAAACTCCCAACAACAGCGAGCGTATAATCCTGGCATTAACATGGACAACCCCGGGAGTATAGATACGATAGATCACTATGCGTATCAGCCGGCTCCCAAACAGATACAGAAGAAGTCCGTGTCTTTTGAACCCGGCACGAAGGGTGGCACGGAGTCCCCGGTGCCTCCACAGATGAATGGGAACTACCCGAACATGTCTAGTGGGGAAGGCCCGGGGAATGTAGGCCTGGCAATGCCCAAAGCCCCGTGTAATCTGTGTCGCAAAAAGTTTATCAGCGCACCGGCATTGTATTGCCCCGACTGCGACTTTTACATGTCAAGGTTCAAGCCACACTCATAGCAACAAATGAATGCTCATTTTGTACAAAAATAATCTAACTGTATCGTTAAGACTTATGTAAATAATTACACGATATTGATTGATATAATGTGACGGATGAAAATTGTTAGTGCTATTGTTATTATTAAATAACTTGACTGATCTCATTTGAGGATGGATACTTAATTTTAGATTAATGGATGCGAGTCTGTGCTACTTAAAATTGTGAAATAGACAAACGAGATAATATTTACTGTAACATGTATAATAATATAATAGAGAACATCATTTATTTAAGATTAAAAAATGACAATTATTTTTGGTGTTTTATTCCCAACTTCATAAATGTTTTAGTACCCCTATATTTAAAATTATGCTGTTAATCTACTAATCACACCAGTTAAGCAGTCGAAGAGTCTATAATATATAGAAAATAAGTAATTATTCTACTTCTCAACTTCTGTGATGTTTAAATTATAACACCAAAATGGCCTGACGACATGGACCTATCAATGGGCAGTTAACACTGTTGCCGATAGTAGGTACTTTAAACATAAATTCAAGATTAAAATTGTCTGCTTTTGATCGCTCAGAGCAATCTCATTCTGTAATCCTAAGCTAGCATCATAAGTACATACATAATTAATATTTATGTCCATAGCTGGGCACCGTTATAATCAAATAGTTAACTTCGTTAATCGTTAAACCGTTACTAAAAAAATTAACTTCGTTAAACGTTACATTTCGGAAGATTTAACTCAAGTTAATGTTAATCGTTAATCCGTTAACACGTGTTAATAAAACGAAAAAAAAATATTGTACAAATAATTTCGAAAGCTTGTATCGCGCATGGAATTTATTCCTCTTTTATGTTTGCGCTACAAGCTTTCGAAATTATTTGAAAGTTGCATAAGTACAATAATTTTTTTCGTTTTAGTACAACTGCATTTCAGAATAAAAGCTTGTTTTAAAAAAAAGTTTTTTTTTTATTATAATTTTATTACGAGTACTTATACTTTTTAGTTGTATCTCAATCTCAGAGCCTTGGTACAATTACAATACAATTTAGCACCAAAGTGCTCGAAAAGACAAATCCAACAAACCCAAACTCGATAAGTTTCCATCGTTTCGTTTAGGAATTCCTATGGCTACCTCCTGACTCCATCATCAGGACCCTGGACATCATCTAGATTCTAGTACTAAAGTGCTCAAAAAGACAAATCGAACGAACCCAAATTCGATGCGATTCGTTTCATTTAGGAGTTTCTATGGCCACCTCCTGATTTCATCATCAGACCAGCTCAATGGTACCATAACATTACATTGTCATCGTACTTACATAAGTATACTTTCAGCTCAATCGGTTGAACTGGCCTTAATTCAGTTGTAAATAAATAAAAAAATAAATTGCATTTTTTATATTCTCAATTAATTGACAATTACATACTTTAATACCTACTTGTTATTATTGTTTATTGTTATACACTNAAAAATTACAATAGAAAAGAAGCAAAAAGACAAAGGAGCTCCTTGTCTCAAGTTTAAAGAAACAGTGTTGTAACTGAAATCCCTTTGCCGATGTTCTTGTCACACAATGTACGTCTCCTCCATCCCCGTGGAGTGTTTGCTTAGGGTAATGTCTTCATCACACCTATTTGTTTTGTTGTCTCGGGAGCTTGTTGAAGACTTGTCTTGCGTATTTGCTCTCTCACTAGATTTACAACTCGATATTCAGAAACAGATATTTCTAAAAATAAATTTGCCGAACGAATAAAGTAAAAAAAAATGTTTCTGAACGTAATATGTTCAGTGGAATACCATGTAAATCCTCCACAAAGATAAAGAATTTAATGGCTGGGACTTACATCGTTAATAATACAGCAGATGCATCGCTTAGTTACAGGCAAGGATCCAATAGATCTCAGACATAGATTCGGGCTCATCTACTATAATTAATCGACAATGCTCGATGAATCTACCTAAAGCATCTCTCGTCAAGATCCAGGATAAAATGTCGGTAACATGTACCAGACCAGGCCCTAGTTATGTTGTTATTTTGTATTTGGGTCTTTCAGTATAATTTACATTCTCAATGTTGCCAGTCCATCAGCGATTCGGTAGGCGTCCAGGTTTATCCAGTTCGTTTAACGTAAAATTTGCAGAAACGTTTACGTGTTCGTCCTTTATTAAAACAACAAGGCTCATTACATTTTGAAAGTCTGCTTTAGGTAGGATATGACATTCATAAGTTAGTTTGGTAATAAATCGGCCACTAGAAAATAGTATTAGTAAGTACAATTCAACCTATTATTGTAATTATATTGACAAAATAAATGTAAATAATAATTTGTTTATTTATGTAAACTACCAAATACGAATTACATCAAATACGGTTGAAATATGGCCATGCTCTCGATATTATCAACGCGCGGCCAGCCCTCAGGCGAAACGCTACCGAAGGGAAACTGCGTTACGGTGAAATTGACGGAAATTCAGCGCAAAAGCTTTTGGTACGCTACACGTTGTAGCTGTACTATCGGGGACTCTTCCGCCTGACCACTTTGTAGAAATTTTAGCGTAAGCGCATCGCTCCGGTCACGTGCTCACCGCGTCTCTAATTGGTTACGCATTTTACTATATTTTTACTACGACCAATAAGAGACAATCAGGTCTTAGGTTGCAATACGAAATACCATTGTGCACTTTATTGTCATACGGTTAAGGTTTAAAACGAAATGTTTCTTTTTCTTCAATCTTTCTTAGTTTTAGGCTGAGTTGCACCACCTAACTTTGACCGTAACTATAACGGTAACCGGTCCTTTTTGTATGGAGTTTGACAGAATTTTGACGTTTGTTAAAGTTAAAGTAAGATGGTGCAACTCAGCCTTAGAATTTTAATAATAGAATTTGGTTACAAACAAATAGATATGTATTTTTTTTAATATTGTGTTTTTATACGAGGTCTGTCTGCTTTTTGCTTTGGCGATCTGTCGACATATTCTCTCCTTTGATTTTTGTGAAGTTTCGTGATCAATAACCGATTGATTTGTGTTGACCCGTGCTAGTAATTGGACTGTTTGATTGCCTTTTTATTGAACTCCGCTCGATTACTGAACCATGCCTCTCAAAATAATTCTTATATTTACTTACAAACTTATCTATTCATTGTTAACTGTTTAAGTATTATTTAGTTTGAAGTTTAATTGTTATTGATTTAAGACCTTGTGTAAAGACACTTAATGTGCAATAAAAAATTGAATTTGAAATAAAACTAACTGAATATTATAATATTTACGATAACCAATTACCTGGATGTGAGATGTTCCGTTTTAAAGATAAGTGTTTCTTTAAAACGGAAAACAAAATATGCATTAAAAATAAATAGAAACCTATCAGGTATAAGTTTTTATTTACATTCAAGGATTTAAGAAAGTTATAGCCAGATCTTACAATGATTGTTTTAAGCCACAAATATTCCTTAACACTTTACTAATTAATTCAATAACATATTGTTTAAATAAGTTCCGAATAAATTAAATACCTATTAAATAAGTAAAATTCGAAAGCAACTGTATGATTTTGTATTTCTCGCCCTAACTAGCTAAACTAATATCATGAGATTTACACTCATAATATCAACAATAATTGTAGAAAGGGCTACTTTTTTCTCGGGAAATTGCATAGTTACCTCGGAATGTGCGATAGCAATTTTGTGACCCGAGCGGGCAATCGCTAGTTCAAATTTTACACGAAGCCTCATATAATATTTTGTAGCGATTCTTTATTGGGTTTCAAATTGACTAAAATGCGACGTTGCCAAACCAGCGCTACGGATGCGGGTAATAAGCAATACTCAATCCTAATTGCTTTACATAGAGCTTGGTTTGCTAGGGCAAACATCTACAGTGGTGCGCCGACGCTGCTTAGACCCGAAATATGAATGAACGGGGGCGGAGCAAAATCGAGCGTGTGTGTGCAAACAATTTAGGCCCTTAAGGTGTCAAGGCGTTCGAGTCCCCGATAGTACATAAAGATAAACGGATCTTTCTATTAAGATTGGCGCTTGGCATACATCTAAAAGGTTTTTCAGACTTTGTTGTATCGAGATGTCGTCAAAGATAGACGGTACCTCGATTAAGACAATGCCAACTGTTCTTGTATGTAGCATGACTAGCTAGACTACTAACTAGCATGTCATATGATTCACAATCAGGAAAAACTTAGAACAACAGTTAACTTGTAACTAGGTGAATCTATGCAAATTAGTATTTATTTCACTTTAGCATGGCATTATTCGTTCCAATAGTATTACTCAATAAATGAATTAAACAATTTAAATACTCATCAGTCATCTATCTCTCTAGTCTAGGATGATCTAGACAAGCAGACAGACAACAAATCGAATTGTGTTATACATTACTTTATGTATATATAGAGGCATTGTCAGTTAATATAGAGGCATTGTCAGTTAACACGAGGATATTGACATTTTTGCCGACCATATTGGATTTATTTTTAAACGTTTTTGTATATCACTCAATGACACTCATTGTTTATTATAATGATGACCTGCTTGATATAATGATGCTTTTTTTTTGACATGTGACATTATTAATCCATAATTTTTCTGTTCTACTGTATCTATATTAATTTTATCTCGATTTGTTTATTATCTAGAATTTGTTAATTAATTAATTCTGTTTAAACAGAATTTAATTTTAATTTAATTTAATAATTTGTGTATTTTTTTGACTATATATAATTTTATTGTAATCGATGTGGTGACTAAACATGTAAGCGCTTTGGGTTTTCTGTAAGCTTATTATGTTGCTCATTAAATAAATAAATAAAATAAATAAATAAATAAATCATTCGCATACTAATTTTTCAGCTTCAGCTCGTATAATAGCATTCTCATAATTGTATAGTTTATCTAGGTAAAAGTAATCCTTTTCGTTTAGTAGAGTATGGCCTTTGGTAAATGGATCTAGAGAATAGCGCTCACAAACATGCAACCTTATCTGTTTATTGTATCGGTAATTCGGTACAGATGATTACCGTAACAGAGACAGCGTCGTCGTGCAGCCCCGAGCGTTCGCAACGGAAACAGCTCACGCTGGCGAAACCATTTGAGCGAGCATTCGAAAGCTTCACTTTCGTGTCGTTTGATGAGTTACGTTACATGAGAACTCGGGGACAATCGAAAGAAAATCTATTTGTAAGCGGCGAATATCATTCATTGTCTCGGAATAATAGATCAACATGTTACAGACGATATTTTTATGTTATAGGGACTAGGGAGTTTGAATAAACTTTTACAAAGACACTGTTTAAATAAAAATTAAAGTAAAAAATACCTAACGCTTTCTGCTGTCATGACATATCAGCTATGTACATAACTTTTCAAATGACTTACTTGCGTGTTATTTATTTAGAGGAGACGTGTCAGACTTGAATTTTAATACGCTGGGCCCGAATTGATTCCAGCACTACGCGTGGATTCACACATGTGAAGAAGAAACTTCAAATAAATTCTTAAGTGGCTGTGTTCATTAGTATTCCGGCGCTTTCCGAAGTCTAATCCCAGAAGGTTGCGGCGAACCGCTTCGCCATATTCAAATATGGACCAATGTATCTTGCTCGTAGTAAGTTACACCATATTCTGTGGTAACGTGACTATGGGACATGAAATTACAAATTCCTGCTGCAGAGTCCACAAGGAATAAAATTATGTGAAATGTGATCAGTGAAATAAAATTATGTGAAATGAGAGCACGGCTTCAGTGCCAAGTCCAACCATAAAGAATCCATCCTATAAGCATTTTATGTCATTCATAATGCACGGACTGATTAAACTGATTATCCTAGGTCAATCTAATTATCGCTTTTATGGTGCTGTATCAGTCCTAGCTAGACTAGTTCTTGTTGGCAAGCTTTATAGCCGCTATTGCCGGATAATATGGCTCTCTCAGGCTCTTACAATGAGCTTAACCGGCGGCATAATAACGTTTCTTTAAAAGCACAGTAGGAATTACGTGTTAAATTAGTTTCTCATCGATTTGTGTTCTGCGGCTACCCCATTTCTGATATTCAAAATCAAAGTCAGCAACTCTAAGCTTATTTTACTCCCTAAAACAAGAAATTCTTCTAATCATATAGATAGATAGGTATTGAAAAAAAATGAAAGAGGAACAGAAGAGTTTCTGATCTAGCCCTCAGAAGAGTCACGCGCCCATCGTGACTTATAGTGGATCTGCGACTGCTTCTGATCCTTGGGAAGTCGTTTGTTCATGACCTGGATTATTCTCTAACCAGTCTGTTCTGGATAAAGTAGTCCAGCAAGCATTGTCCAAGGAAGAATGAGGACAAGTGCGGCGAGTTCAGTAGGTCGTCGGCCTCGTTGTCCCAAGGACCAAGAAACGTATACGTAGATATGTCATTAAAAAACACTATCATTAAAACAATTACTTTTCCTTTTCATGAAAAAAAAAATTACCTACACAATAACATTTAAACCAAGTATCCTTCATTGAACGTAACATTAGACGACATCAATCCCTTATTTGACAGAAAAAAGTAAAGTAAATAGAGAAATTTATCACCTACATAAAATACGGACTTCTTATAACTAAAAAAAATAATGAGTTGCCTGGAGGCACCTGTGGAACATGCTATCGTCGCCGTATTATGAAAGTGAAACTAATAAAAAACAAAAGTGCAATAAATTAAATAACATGAAAATTATTATGACCGAAGATCCGAGGCAGGCCATTTTGTTGAAGTGAAATGTTTTTTCAAGTGATACACATTGTTAATACGGCGCGACGACAGCTCAAGCACCCCGACGACAAAAGGGTAGCACAAATTGCATCCAGGTCCTTACCCCAGGTCTAGACGGGAATTAGGAGTGCAACAACCTTACGCGCCCAGACAAAGACAGACGCAAAGCTAAATTAAACACCTAAGTGCAGCAGACAGCTAAACCTTAATTAACTTTATGCACATTCATATCAGGGAATGCACGATAATAGTACCAACGTGAAGTAGACAAAATGATTTTGGCAAATGCGCCAAGAAGACCCAGTGACCTTATCGATGCGGGGGAGTTTTTCTGTCTCTCATTAAAATCAGTTAGATTTATGCAGAGGTTGAAATATTTTGAAAATTTATATTTAAGATTAACAAATTATAAGAACTTGATTTATCTACAAAACGCCTCTATGTAAAGGAATCCTCCCCCCAGGCTATAAGTCGGGTATGACTTATCCCCCCCCCCTCTAGGCCAGAAACTGGGTATTAGCACTCTTATTATGTATTATTATGTTAAATACAAACAATCATAAAGTTACACTCGCCCCAACCGCGTCTCCGCATTCCATCGAATCCTATAAAAATGTGGTTTTTGGACATAGCGATACTTATTTTTCACAATTTTTATTTTTAAAAATTACTGGTCGATAGGTCCTACTTTATTTTGATGAATAAATGTTATTAAAAGTTTTTTTCTAAAACTGATAGTTAAGCTGGAAAAAAATATTTTCCATCCCAATAGTATGGCGGCTGCGCTCGATTCGGATATAGTGACGTCACGCGGCCCTGCGTACGTTGACTTTTAGCGGCAAAAACGGCCTATTACTTAATATCTTCGTAAGTAATGGTCCGATTTGGATAATTCAAAAAGATATATCTTTCTTATGTCTTAAAGATTAACGTAGATACTAGTTTTATTGAATTTTCTACAACAGTACTGATCCTCATTAATAATAAACATGTCTAAAAATATTGATAAGAATTCGAATATCGTGTGTTACATTTTTTAAGCTACTTGCACTACTTATTTACTACTATAATCTTATCCGGTGTTTTCGTATGGAGTTTTGACTTACTTTTGCCTTTTTTATAGTTATTGCAACCCAGCGTTAATTTGATTAGTCGAACGGGCGTGGGCGCCACTTTTGTCTTATTACATCATAATAATTTTTATTTTATTTATTTGGACAACCAACAAGATTTTATGTTATCCATCTTCTGCGGTTTATAATTTTTATAAAACACTACTTTTAATAATATGGTAGTTTTTGGAAACAAAGCTGGTATCCCTAAATGGGCCTTCAAGTTGGCAGTTCTTTAATGGCTACCACTAGTGACGGGTTGTTTATCTCTGAATAACTGACTTCGACTAAAATACAAATTTTAGGTGTTAGGACTGTGTTTACGTAAACATGACGGGGATTTTGCCCACATACCAGCGTTTTGTGAATGGAGTCCCGGTGCCGTCCATATCTCGGCGCTCATTCCGTCTGCGAGAGAAATATTTGATTGTTTCAGTACTTTTGACATTCGGAATCGTGTGGTTAGGAGCACTGTTTTACTTGCCAGAGTTTAAAAGTTCCACCAGTGTGAACGACAGTGTGTATAATGTGTACAAACGTATCCAAAAAGCTGGTCCGGAACTGCTGATGCCACCACCACTGGCGCAGAACGATGTGGGAGACTTCCCCGTGGTAGGAATCGTTCGTCACGGAGAAGAAGGAGATGATCCCCACATCGTTGAAGACAGGAACCGTTTACGAGCTAAGATAGAGGAGGATATGGGTATGAAAGTGCTGGAGAGACCTCAGTTTGATGCTGCCCCTTCGGTGTCGTCATCCCGTGGGCCTAGCAAAGCTCCTGTAGATGCTCTTGAGGAGCCAGCAGTTGGGAATAATGCTGCCAGCAAAGATGTGTCCCCATCTGGACCCAAAGCAGAAGCTTCTGACAAGTATGTAGCTGTGGCGCTGACTTCTGATGCCGATCCTGAAATCAGGCATAAGCTGGAAACTGTTAAAGAGGTAAGCTAAGATTGATATAACATTTAACTGGCATGAATGAAGCTAAAAGATGAGGTGAAAGGTTTGTGCAGTCGTGCTTTGTTTACTTATGAATTATTAACCATTTTAATGTCTTTCAACTGAGGTGATGCAATTGTTATGAACTTTTTGCAAATTGGACCCTAGTAGGTAGTTATTATGTAAAAATAATAGGTTTTACATATAAAATTATGTTGCATGAGGATACCGTCTTGTTATTATTTCATTCACCTTGTTTCAAGGATAACACAATACTAAATTATCTTATTTTAAGACTTATCATTGGCATAATAAGGTTCAAATTATGTAGTTATTGTTACTATAATGATTTGTCTGGAGATAAAAGTTTATAATAATTTAGTCAAAAGGTTATTTTCTTATTGATAACACTGAGAACTAGATCGCTAGTGCTAATAAAAGAGTAGTAGTTACTAAACTAAAACACTAAACTGGAAACAACCAAATTCAATTTACATTATCTGTGTCCCTTTCCCACCTGGAAATCAAACTCCATAGGTACCTTTAAGTTATACCTATGCTACGCCAGTCTTACTTTTTAACCGACTTCAAAAATGGAGGAGGTTCTCAATTCGAGTGTTTGTGGTTTTTTTAACCACCACAACTGGAACATGAAGGTGGTAGCTTGTAGGTACAAGTACAAGTAATGGTTTGAACCAAAATATTCTGTTGATCATAATAATCTTTAATATTGTTGAGTAGGTATGTTAGAATAGGTAGCTATGGCATTTTTCAGTCATTATCTCTTATCATATGAATCTAATATTTTTTTTAGATAATGATACTCAATTAAATGAGCACAATAGGAAAATGTATAATTATTGCAACTCCAAGGTTAATTTGTGTAGCTATAGTTACTTGTGGTAATCACTGATATTACCTACAAATTGCACCGTGACTGTTTCATCTATTGTATTATTATAGCCTAGGTCAGCGGTTCCCAAAGTTGTCTGTACGACTCATCTAATACAAGTTCCCAAACTCGGTACTCACCTATAGGAAATTTCGCCTGCCGCCCAGTGGTTGGATCGGTAGGTTGGTGTGTTGTTCTACAGGCAGGGCCCACTCAATGTTCACTCATAATGATCCATAGTTTGGGAAACCCTGGCCTAGGTGATTTGATTCTATCTGCGTGGTTTTGTTCAATTTATTGCAGTTTGATGGATACTATGTCCAACTGTACTGAATGCATCACTGCCTTTTTTCAATGTCCAATTCAATTCATTTGAATGTAAATGTATTACATTACATTGCTATTCAAGCAAAATGGATCAAGGTCCTTCAATATGGTTATAGTACTTATTCGTATAAAAAAATAAAATAATAGAAGGTACACACTGTACATAGGTTCTATCCATTTATCACGAAAAATACTAACTTACATACTACAGTGCAAAAAGAATCTGATAAGATTTATTTTATTTATTTATTTAAAATCTTTATTGCACACATAGAAAACAGTGGTAAAACAGGCGAGCTATTTAGATATAGAACAATATATTTTTATCCTTATCACAAAATCCACATTAATTCTAGTCCATTACAATTTTTCCTTTCTACTTGAACTGAATAAAAAATAGCAATATAGTCAAGACCATATTAAATATGAAAAAATGTGATACCCTACTGCATGTGGGTATGCACAGTAAAAATACTATGATAACAACACTAACTGCCTTTTTCCTATGATGCCGCATTCATTATATCACAGGACAGTACAGACACTAAATATGCCTTATCCAGACTAACGATAACCGCGCAGTTTCTGGGTGGTTCTCATTAGCGAGGCATTGAGGCGGTAATCTTGCGGTTACGATTTGATGCAAGTGTACGAGAACTGCCCAGCTACCGTGCGATTATCACTGTTTTTCTGGACTAGTCATGTGCGCCGTGATAAAATCTTATCAATGATTTTAGACGACAAATGTATGGGCTTATCGAGTAAAATCGATAAAATGGCGTGATAAACGCTAATCGCGACGCGCATCCTAGGCCTACTGGCCTAAGATATTGACCAGAAGACCACAGACATGACAAAGCAAAGACGAAATTAAATTTTCAGGCTTCGCACTGATAAAAGGAAAATTTTTGGCTCATGTGCTGCATAAAATAAGGGCTTGTGGTAGTTGTAGCTGCTTCTTATATTTATTTGCAGCTAGGGGAAATATTAGACGGAATACCTTTGTCGGAAATGCAGCCACACCATACATCCTGTAGGATATATACGGCGTCAATGGCAGGCAATCAATATAGTATCAAATAACGTTTACCCCACCTTACTTGCCGTGTGGTTTTGTAGGGGTTAGATATCCAGGTGGCTAGAGTTCAATTTACGGCAGGTTAACGGTGCTTACAGGTAAGGCTTAGGAAAAAATCTTAATCTGAAAAGTCAATCGACCCTTTTTTAGGAGGGGCTTTCGCTTAACTTTACCTGTCACCTCAAAATCAGAGAGCATTGCATACATTTAGCATCAAACCCGTCTTGTTTGTATTTGGCAACCCTACGAGATATGTAAAAACCATCAAGTTACAACAGCAGCAATATGAATAAGCAATTCGATGTTAATATCAAGTCCGCCCTGCCTTATTGTGTTGGTAGCTAATTAATTACTGTGAAAGTGTTTCGGATAGCCACCTCACTATCATTATGGGCTTGCAATTGAAAATACATTAGTCCTAATTAGTAATACGATGAAGTAGGTATGTACGTCTACTTGTCAGTCAAATCACAACATACTCGGCTATTCATGAATGACTGCGCTCTATAAACGGAGTAGACTTTCATTCTGGACAGTTGAGTTGACACTAATTTTGTGGGTGTGTCTTGTGTACGTCTTCCCGTTACACTTGTTTTTATGAATCAGAGCTTGGCGAGGGTACCAAGGTCAGTTCATCGCCCTATTCAAATGTTACCTCATGCAGGTGTTGGTAAATAATGCTACAGGTGAAATTTGGTCAAACCGCCGCAGGGTGGAAAAGAATTATCAATAAATACGATGAGAACGAAAGGACTCTACATCGTAGAGAAGAGAAACATTCTTCTAAATATCGTGATAAACCACAATATGAACGAAAGACCGGACTCGGACCATTTTAATGTTGCAAATTCTGTCTTTCAGCTTCCACTATTAAACAACAAAAGATATTAGTGAGGCCGGCAGACACATTGAAGACAGACATCTTTTCTAACAGGTGTCGGTGTCATTCGCTTACCAAATTAAAAATATTATACCCAGCACCTTCCGAAGCGATTTAACGGCGTGTTATTTGAAGAGGTGCGCAAATATCCAATCAGGGTGGTATTATTTCGACGCTCGATAGCTTTTGTGTAAATATTTGGCGGGTCACAGACCGTTACAGCAAACATTCTGTAACACACTTCATTTTACATGTGTATCAGTATACGGGCGTTTACTTTGACACAAAAGTAATGAAATAGCACCGTTAACAAGTGCTAATGCTAACTAACAAACAGCTAGCTTATTCGTTGTACTTTTACGGTATTCTTTTATAGTCTTCACGTGCTTTTGACACTGTCGTACACACTTGCAAATTAAATTTTTATCGCAAACATCCACCGGGCATACGTGCAGGTGATTAATGCATTATGCAATCAGGTGTGAATATAAATAACGTACACATTATTTATTGTGAACACCTATAGAAAAGGTATTATTAAACAAATGAGCCTGACTAACATGCAAAAAACGTTATTTCATTTAGTTGGTGTTCGTCTCCATGTTCAGTGGTTAGTTACCTAATTAACTGAAAACACGACAAGAGGTTGTTCTGATTTGTTACATTTCTTATTAGAAAAAACTATACATATTTATTTAATTTTAAACGCAAAGGTCTGTTGATGATGTATTGGAGTCATCAACTCCGCCAGCTACTAGTTTTGACGAAAAGCAACTAGTTTTTTCTTAACCATATTAGTTACTCACACCCCACGGTAGAAGGTAATTAGCAAAACGAAGTGTTTCTGGATACTAGTACATTTCTGAATAGTGACAATGGAGCTCAGTAAACGCCGAGGTAACGCGGATGGAATGGAAGCGGTTCTGATCTTAATCGACGCCTCACCGGTAAAAGGCTTGTTGATGCAGTTGGAATGCAAAACGCTGAATTTTAGGATGTGATCGGTCTAACTGCGATTGCATCGAAATAAGTACTAGAACAACGTAGTATTTTGGCCTTTTTAAAGGTGAAGGATTTCGCTGCCAAAGTGAGGTCGTTAAATAAATCGCTTGGTGGTCTTAGGAGCGGGCTGGTCGTTAGTGTAAATAATAAAACTACCTACTAAGATCTAAAAGATTTCTTTGCTTGAGCCTATTTTTCCTGCCATCACTAACTACTCTTGCTACTTATCTACTTGATAGGTATATTTGGTACACCAATTCACTGTAAATTGGCCACCTGAACCGTTAATTGCCGCATGCGACGCACTAATTATTTAAATGTATTCAAAAACACCATTATCACTAATTCTTACAGTCACGCGTGGAATTGTAATGGTAAAAGTTTTCCACGTTTATAATTTAAATAAATTCTGTGTCACCTCGCAACATGCGGGCTGTATTTGCTAAGCTTTGTTCTTTCCGAGCTTTGTAGCTGACCAACGAAAATAGAATGACAGTACAACATTAAATATTCCGTGAGACTCCTAATAGGGGCGGCCTTGACATTTCATTCAACTTGCTATGTATAATCGATATTTACAGCGCGTTAATCAGCAATGGACTTTATTTATGTAAAAATCTAATGATAAACAATGAGATTTGTTTTAAACAAAAATATACATTCACTGCTGATCGTACGTTTTCCAATGCAATCGTTGATATCTTTCAGAATCTTTTAAAAACAGGTGTTTAAATATGTCACTTTACATACACTATTTATATGAAAAATATGTTAATGTAAAAATTATATGATAAAAACAGGTTTCAGGACTGAAAGCCGGAATT